TTATAATATCTATTATGCTGTAAAATGCGGAAATATACAATAATATTTCTCGAAGGCCGCAGAATAGTAATCTATTTTTGAACAGGAAACGGAAATGTACGGAGAGGCATCACATGACACAATAGCAACAGGTTATATTGCTCGATACTAACATAGCGTCACAGAAAGGTTTAGCGTCGGGTGTCAGCTTCGCGATATACAGCGAGTTTTGTGGCTAGAGCAGCAGTCGGGTGAACTTATGCGTTATGCATCGGCCCGGCTTGATGGGCATCCGTGTCTTCCGCCTGAGCACGCGCTTGTAGAGGAACTTCTTGTATAAAGAAATTCTGACGCTCCAGTGCCAGCCGTCATCACCTGATGGCGGCTGCGAACATCCGGAACACTGAACGAACTAAGAGGAGGAGGGACAACAACGGACGTATTCATTTATTAATCCACCAATGTTCTCATTCACTTATTCACTGAACAATCAATTCAATCAATCATTCATTCTTACATTTTCATATATTCAGATATAAAATAATCTATACAGCGAAGTTCTTATAACGGTCGGTCAACAAATTTTCCGCCTCTTCTGGTAACAAATGTTCATTATTATGCCAAAATAGCCACTAACTGGTCCCTAATCCGAATCAAATTAATCCAGTCCACATACTTATATATTTCTTCTTTAAGATCAAACAGAAAAAAACTCCGTGGCCTGTAGTCAGCAAACGAACTATACCGACCGAGCGACCGCCGCTTGTCGGCGAAGTGAATGCCAACTTTACTGGGATAGATGGTGTCGTGTGGTCAGCGCAACGGATCCCTACAGCCGTTAATTTCTGTTTTCTAGACCGCAGCCGCTATTTCCTTGAAACAGTTCCTCAATTATCCTCACAAGGCTGAGTGGACCCCGTTCCAGACCCACTACTTCTCAGAAAATCTGGTAGCGCCGGGAATCGAACCCGTGAACTCTGGATCTGTAGTCAGGAACTCTGACCACTAGACTACAGAAGAGGTATTTCTATAAGATCCGTTTTAATATTATCTTCGTATATACAGCTATGAATCTCAAGAGGTGTATGTCTCTCAGGTTTAACTCACTCATTCACCTCCGTCTTAATGCAAATTTAAACTGTTCACAGTCTCTCTTTAATTTAAAATAACATTAAAATCACATCAATGCTACATGTTTCGGCCTCAATTGGCCATCTTCAGGCAATTTTTCACTTTTTGAAAGAGTCTCACTGCACTAGATCTTAAGTCAATGTATTCCATGCTATTGCATATCGTTGTTCACATTAAAATGTGATTGCCTGAGAACACATCTCTCTTTCTATTCCGCGTTATTTTGATTTTGCGGCCTCCATATTTGGGTCCCCTTTCGTACGTATGTTCCCACTAATCGGGGGGCATGTCTCGTGTCTCAGGTTTAAATTTAAAATTATGTGTGCATTTCTGACGTCTACGATGTGTGCTATAAGTCTCGCCCGTTTAGTCATCTCTGTGTTATTCGGCGAAGACAACAAATTACAAAGCTGCTAAATGCATGTGTTTACCAGCCTCACGTCACTTCCGCTGGTGCAGGTCTAAATATTTTCATTGCAGTTTTGTACCTCTCAAGCTATAGAATTACTGGAGGTTTGGACTTTTTCCATCATCCGGTATTCCAGAAAAATAGAAAACCTGACGCTTCGGAAACTGGTACTGTTTCCATCCTCAGGTGTGGAGGTAGACATCTACCATGTTGGGTCCCTTAGAAAGAGCTAACCTCAATCACTGGACATGTTTTCTATCCTCTAGAATACCGGACGATGGAAATAGTCCAAAACCCAGTATTTCTGTGTTATACACCATCGTCAGAGCCCTTTATATCTGCTCTCAATCTATGTTTTCTCTTATAATGCGATGTTACGTATCAGATCCACAAAATTTAAGACAGAAAATATTACCCTTTAGTGATCAATACACTCATCAATTTATCTGCTTATTCATCCATGCTTTTATTGCTTTACAAACACATCCATCCAATCTTATTAATGTGAATCCTGTTGTGTGTCATAAATAAGATATATATAAGTATTGTGACATGTTGCGCAAAGGAGAACCCCCCTCCACCAGCAGTGACGCGGCGGGTGAGTCAGCGCTCCCCTCCCCTCCTCCGCACGGTAACGTAGCGATGACGTCACCGAGGGATATCGCGGTTGCTAGGCAG